TATTCTATTCTATTCTATTCTATTCAGTAGGTGTATAAGTCAAATACTAAGGATTCAAGTTTTTTTCCACTTTAAAATCACACTAAGAGCAGATTTTCATAATATAGTCATTTTAAACATTAGTGCAAAAAGTAGCACTAAAACAGTTTCTTTCAGTCAGAAGATCAAGTGAGTGGCTGCACAAGGAAAAGGAACCAATGAGGATTTTGATGTGTGCATCATGCAAAGTCACTCTCGTGATTCTCAAAATTAGAAAACAACCAAAACTGAAAAACAAATTACAAGCTAATCTTCTCTAAAACATTATAAATGCAAATACAGCTAGGTGTTATGCAAATTATTTTTGCAAAATACCACATTTTAAGCATCGGAGCTGTTTGCTTACTAGCATTTGCAAAATAGCAACTAATCAATATTTGATCTTCTTATCTTGAATGAAAAATGAAACCTTTTTGTACTTATATGAAACAGCATGTGTAGCTTTCATTGTGAGTGAAAATGTCATCAGCACACTAACCAACACGAGCATATTATTCACTAAGGTGACACTGGGCAAGTTCACACTCGTACCTCTGACATTCACACACTACCGCACAATTTCTACGGTTTCACTTCACCTCCTACAGATTAAACTTCAAGAAGAGAAAGTATTATGTTAAGGGCAAAGCATCAATCCTTGACGTTATTTGCATAATAAACCTAAAGACACTGAGCCTTTGGCTTTCCTCAACACATTTGATACAAAGCAAATGGAAGTCCTGCTACTATTTACTCAGGATATATAAAAATGACTCTGTGGCATACCAAACAAAATCTATTCAGTACATTAGCTTTCAGATACTGTTGACTGTATGAGATTTATGTGGCCAGTTTGATGTCACCCGCTGGCTTTGGACTCCACGTTCTAAAGTTTCAGCATCAGCCTTTAATATGCACCCATGCTGTTTTTCTGAAGACAAAACTGTCCGCAGTGAGAACGTAGAGCGTTAAATTATCAGCTAAAGCTAGAAAGCAGGGTTGGTAAACATGTCGGCTAATTAGTGCAAAGTAACAAACTAAACAGGGAAATCAAAAAGAAATTCACAGACTTTTTGAGTGGGCTACACCACACAGAAAACCATATTATACCTGACACTGTGAGGAACCTTGGAGTCCTTTTTGACCAGGATATGTCCTTCAACGCACATATTAAACAAATATGTAAGACTGCGTTCTTCCAT